CAACATATTCATCCCCCAGAACAAACTCTTGTAATAAAAGGAATATTAGAAACAAAAATAATAGAATCGGAAACCATGGTTCTACAAGAAGAATTAATAAATACTGATAAAGCTGATATTGAAATAACTAATATAGAACAAGCCTTTATAGAAGAAAGTCTAAATATTAATAGAATAGACTATGGGAAAAAATAGAGACCAGTGTCTCAAGCAAGAATTTATCATACTCGGCCCACGCCAGTAGATATACAATTCGAAGAAGATTTAATATCTCATACCATCTCCTACTCAGGACGAACTATAGTAAATTGGAATATTGATGGAATGTCAGACCATCAAATTTTAGATACAATGAGGCATATGACGATGTATGCCGAAGCATGTACAGTCTCTGGTAGCCACGATCAAGATGTTGCTAAAGCAATTGTCTGTGGCTTTACATGATGGCTTCGTGGCTGGTGGGATTTTCATGTCTGAGGCTACAAAAACCCAAATATTAAATGCAACTCGACAATGGGTTGTAAAAAATGAATTAAATTAAGATATACCACATAGCGAAAGCGATGCGGTAAATACACTCATACATACAATAACCTTACATTTTGTAGGTAGCACACCTTTATTAGAAGCTAGATCTGAAGATTTGCTTTCTAATTTAAGATGTCCTACGCTTTCACATTATAAATGGTATAAAGATGTTTTTTTCTCTAGACTATTACCACAAGAAGATTTCAGTGCCGATCATTGGAAAGAGAAATTTATTGCTGGTCTACCACACCTTTTCGCTGAAAAGGTCAAAAATAGGTTTAAAAAAAAAAATGGCGGAATAATACCATATTCACAATATACTTTAGGAGAACTTTCTTCAGAAATATGTGCTGAAGGATTAGCTCTCCGCACAGACATGAAATTAAAAAGACAATTAGATAAACAACGAATGACTGGAAAGAAAGAACTAGGAGATTTCTGTGAACAATTTGGTTTCAGTACAATTCCTTTCTAGTAAAAAACATATGAAAAAAACATATAAACAATATCCAAAAGATAGAACTTCAAAAAAGTTTCAGAAAAATAAGAAAGTAAAACGAAATAAGTTTATACAAAAATTTGCTTCAAAAGCAAAATTTAAGAGAAAACTCCCAGTATGCTATAAATGTGGCAAAGTTGGTCATTATAAAAGTAATTGCCGTGTTAAAAAGAAAATAGCTCATCTGACGTCACAGATACTGAAATAGAAACAGTAATAGGAAAACTTGAAGATGAAAACTTGATTTGGTACGCTTCTGATTCAAGTAAAGATTCAGATCAAGATATAAAAATGCCTAATTGTTTTTGTAGTGTACTATCAAAAGAAGAAAATCTAATACTTGATTTAATAGACAAAATTTCTGACTCTGATGAAAAAAGCGATGCTATAACCCAATATATCCAATTAGCTAAAGGGAAAAATAAACTTTTTCAATTAATAAAACCCCAAGAAGAATTTAGTCGATCTGAAATATTAAGAAGAATAAATAAAAGAGAAACTATACAAAAGGAACCTACCGTTGCTGAATTAAAACAAGAAATAAATGAAGTGAAAACTGAAATTCAGCAATTAAAAAACTGAAATTCAGCAATTAAAGAACAAAATTAAAATATTAGAAATGGCCACAGATTTTCTTGAAAATGAAACTGATGATGAACTACAATTTAATGACCTAATAGAAAATAATAAAATAATAAAATAATATCATCCTCAGAACGTTTTGAATCCTCTGGACTCAAAATTGAAGAGCCTGAAAACCATTTGAATTTAATCAATAAAGTAATGTCTCAAAAATGGTATACGTTAATAAGGACAATCATTCGAAATGTATATAGTTTCCAATCACTTGCTCTAATAGACTCTGGAGCCGATCTAAATTGCATCAATGAAGGACTAGTTTCTACTAAATACTTTGACAAAACCACTCAATTTTATATACTGCCGATGGTAGTAAACTCATAATAAATTATAAACTATCTGATGCAGTCGTCTGTAACAATGGAAATTGCTTAGATATGCCATTTATTATGGTAAAAGGATTAAGTCAAGCAGTAATCTTAGGAACACCATTCTTAAGTTCTCTCTATCCTTTAAAAATAGATAATACTGGCATAGAGGCCAATTTAGATGGTCATCCTGTTAAATTCGAGTTTATTGACAAACCAAAAGTTAAAGAAATAAATAATGTTAAACAAACTATTCATAACAAAGAAAAATTTCTTTATCATCTTAAAACAGAAATCAAATATAAAACAATAGAACAACATTTTTTGCTTCCAAAAATCAAAAAGAAAATTGAAGAATTCAAAATAAAAATAGAACGAGAAATTTGTAGTTAATTACCGAACGCTTTTTGGAATAGAAAGAAACACATGGTAAGTCTACCCTATGAAGAGGGATTCTCCGAAAGCAAAATACCTACTAAAGCTAGGCCAATACAAATGAATACAAGATTACTAGAAATTTGTGAAAAAGAAATAGATGAACTCCTTAAAAAGAAGTTAACTAGGCCAAGCTCTTCTCCATGGAGCTGTGCTGCCTTCTATGTAGAAAATGCAGTTGAAAAAGAAAGAGGAGTTCCAAGATTAGTTATAAATTATAAACCTCTTAATAAAGTTTTAAAATGGATTAGATATCCAATATCCAATAAAAAGGATTTATTAGATAGATTAATTGACGCTTGTATCTTTTCAAAATTTGACCTTAAATCAGGATACTAGCAAATACAAATAAATGAAAAGGATAGGTATAAAACAGCCTTTAACGTTCCATTTGGACGGTACGAGTGGAATGTTATGCCATTCGGATTAAAAAACGCTCCTTCAGAATTTCAGAAAATTATGAATGATGTATTTAACTCCTATATAAAATTTATGATTGTATATATAGATGATGTGTTAATTTTTTCAGAAGATATCGATCAGCATTTCAAACATCTGAATACTTTTCTAACTGCAGTCAAACATGCAGGTTTAGTAGTCTATGCCAAAAAGGTAAATTTATGTCAAACAAAGATTACGTTTTTTTGTCACAATGTTTTTCAAGGAACCATTGTCTCAATAGACCGAGCAATTGACTTTTCAAATAAATTTCTTGATGTAATTCTTAATAAAACAGAACTACAAAGATTTTTAGGGTGTTTAAATTACATCGCCGATTTTATAAAAGAAGGATTAAGATGATTTAAAAGGTAGAGATTGGCTATTCTTTCAGGTTCAAGAGCCAAGTGTTCAGGTTCAATGATATAGTCTGTTAAGAAAGCAGTCTCTTCATATTGAGATTTTCTAGTGCTAGATTTTTTATTTAGGATTGGAGTTTGTATAAACACTGGGGTCTGGCTTTGATTTATTTGGGTAGAATGATCAGGATATATTACTAATGGTCTATTTGGGGAAACTGGTGGATAATAGGTTAATGGAGATTCGGGGGACGATGGAACAATATCCATAGGGGCTTTGACTTTATTTGTATGAATCATATTTTTATTGAAAAGTATTAAAGCTAATGGCGGCTGGCTGTTCTCAAGTGCAGGTAGAGCTCTCTCCCCCCCGCAAAAATTCACGCGTGACAAAGTCGGGAAGATGGTTAGTAGAACCTTTAAGATGTTCAATTGTAAAATCGAAAGAGGGTAAAATGGCTTGCCATTGGGCAAAAATTTGTTTGGAAACAAGATTTTGAACATCTTTCACTAGAATATTGCGTGCAAATTTGCAATCGGTTCTAATTAAAAAAGGAGTATTAAGAATATCACTTTGGAATTTAGTGACACAATGAACAATAGCGAGTATTTCTTTTTTTACAGTAGAATAGTTCTGTTGAGTACTATTCCATGCTTTAGAACTATACCGCACTAATTGTTCTTGCTCGTTAATTTTTTGTTTTAATGTGTTGCCTAGTCCAAGCTCAAAAGCATCACATTCGATAATCTTAAAAGCATTTGGATCAGAAAGAACTAAGCAAGGGAGTTCTTTTGCCTTGCTTTTAAGTATTTTAATAGCATTTGTATATTGATCAGTCCATTTTGGAGGATTCTTTTTAAGTCTCTCATATAAAGGTTTGGCGAAAAGAGCTAGATCTTTATAAAATCGGAGATGTAATTTAAACATTCTAAAAATCTTTGTAGCTTTGTTTTATTAAGAATTACTTCAGGAAATTTATTTGAAAAGTCAATTGCTCGATCTATTGGGCCAATGGTTCCTTGAAAGATATTGTGACCTAAAAACCTAATCTTTGTTTGACATAAATTTACCTTTTTGGCAGAGACTACTAAACCTGCATGTTTGATTGCAGCCAGAAAAGTATTCAGATGTTGAAATGCTGATCGATATCTTCTGAAAAAATTAACACATCATCTATATATACAATCATAAATTTTATATAAGGGTTGAATACATCATTCATAATTTTCTGAAATTCTGAAGGAGCGTTTTTTAATCCAAATGGCATAACATTCCACTCTTACTGTCCAAATGGAACGTTAAAGGCTGTTTTATACCTGTCCTTTTCAATTATTTGTATTTGCCAGTATCTTGATTTAAGGTCAAATTTTGAAAAGATACAAATGTTAATTAATCTATCTAATAAATCCTTTTTATTGGGTATTGGATATCTAATCTATTTTAAAACTTTATTAAGTGGTTTATAATTTATAACTAATCTTGGAACTCCTCTTTCCTTTTCAGCTGTATTTTCTACATAGAAGGCAGCACAGCTCCAGGGAGAAGAGCTTGGCCTAATTAACTTCTTTTTAAGGAGTTCATCTATTTCTTTTTTTACAAATTTTTAATAGTCTTGTATTCATTTGTATTTGCCTAGCTTTAGCAGGTATTTTGCTTTCGGAGAATCCCCTCTTCATAGGATAGACTTATCATGTGTTTCTTTCTATTCCAAAAAGCGTTTGGTAATTCACTACATATTTCTCGTTCTATTTTTATTTTGAATTCTTCAATTTTCTTTTTGATTTCTGGAAGCAAAAGATGCTTTTCTAATGTTTTATATTTGATTTCTGTTTTAAGATGATAAATTTTTTTTTCTTTGTTATGAATAGTTTGTTTAACATTATTTATTTCTTTAACTTTTGGTTTGTCAATAAACTCGAAGTTAACAGGATGACCATCTAAATTGGCTTCTATGCCAGTATTATCTATTTTTAAAGGATAGAGAGAACTTAAGAATGGTGTTCCTAAGATTACTGCTTGACTTAGTCCTTTTACCATAATAAATGGCATATCTAAGCAATTTCCATTGTTACAGACGACTGCATCAGATAGTTTATAATTTATTATGAGTTTACTACCATCGGCAACATTTAAAATTTTAGTAGTTTTGTCAAAGTATTTAGTAGGAACTAGTCCTTCATTGATGCAATTTAGATCGGCTCCAGAGTCTATTAGAGCAAGTGATTGGAAACTATATTCATTTCGAATGATTATCCTTATTAACGTATACCAGTTTTGAGTGATTATTTTATTTATTAAATTCAAATGGTTTTCTGGCTCTTCAATTTTGAGTCCAGAGGATTCAGAACGTTCTGAGGATGATATTATTTTATTATTTTCTATTAGGTCATTAAATTGAAGTTCATCATCAGTTTCATTTTCAGGAAAATCTTTGGCCATTTCTAATATTTTAATTCTGTTCTTTAATTGCTGAATTTCAGTTTTTTAATTGATGAATTTCAGTTTTTACTTCATTTATTTCTTGTTTTAATTCAGCAACGATAGGTTCCTTTTGTATAGTTACTCTTTGATTTATTCTTCTTAATATTTCAGATAGACTATATTCTTTTTGGGGTTTTATTAATTGAGGAAGTTTATTTTTCCCTTTAACTAATTGGATATATTGGGTTATAACATCTCTTTTTTTATCAGAGTAAGAAATTTTGTCCATTAAATCACGCATTAGATTTTCTTCTTTTGATAGTACATTACAGAAACAATCATGCAATTTTATATCTTGATCTGAATCTTTACTTGAATCAGAAGTGTACCAAATCAAGTTTTCATCTTCAAGTTTTCCTATTAATGTTTCCGTTTCAGTATCTGTGCCGTCAGAGGAGCTATCAGAAGTATCAATTACTTGAATTATATCATATAATTGATTTTGTATATTTTCATCAAGCATCAGGGTATCTATTTTCTTTTTAACACGGCAATTACTTTTATAATGACCAACTTTGCTACATTTATAGCGTACTGGGAGTTTTCTCTTAAATTTTGCTTTTGAAGCAAATTTTTGTATAAACTTATTTCGTTTTACTTTCTGATTTTTCTGAAACTTTTTTGAAGTTCTATCTTTTGGATATTGTTTATATGTTTTTTTCATATGTTTTTTACTAGAAAGGAATTGTACTGAAACCAAATTGTTCACAGAAATCTCCTAGTTCTTTCTTTCCAGTCATTCGTTGTTTATCTAATTGTCTTTTTAATTTCATGTCTGTGCGGAGAGCTAATCCTTCAGCACATATTTCTGAAGAAAGTTCTCCTAAAATATATTGTGAATATGGTATTATTCCGCCATTTTTATTTTTAAACCTATTTTTGACCTTTTCAGCGAAAAGGTGTGGTAGACCAGCAATAAATTTCTCTTTCCAATGATCGGCACTGAAATCTTCTTGTAGTAATAGTCTAGAGAAAAAAACATCTTTATACCATTTATAATGTGAAAGCGTAGGACATCTTAAATTAGAAAGCAAATCTTCAGATCTAGCTTCTAATAAAGGTGTGCTACCTACAAACTGTAAGGTTATTGTATGTATGAGTGTATTTACCGCATCGCTTTCGCTATGTGGTATATCTTAATTTAATTCATTTTTTACAACCCATTGTCGAGTTGCATTTAATATTTGGGTTTTTGTAGCCTCAGACATATGAAAATCCCACCAGCCACGAAGCCATCATGTAAAGCCACAGACAATTGCTTTAGCAACATCTTGATCGTGGCTACCAGAGACTTTACATGCTTCGGCATACATCGTCATATGCCTCATTGTATCTAAAATTTGATGGTCTGACATTCCATCAATATTCCAATTTACTATAGTTCGTCCTGAGTAGGAGATGGTATGAGATATTAAATCTTCTTCGAATTGTATATCTACTGGCGTGGGCCGAGTATGATAAATTCTTGCTTGAGACACTAGTCTCTATTTTTTCCCATAGTCTATTCTATTAATATTTAGACTTTCTTCTATAAAGGCTTGTTCTATATTAGTTATTTCAATATCAGCTTTATCAGTATTTATTAATTCTTCTTGTAGAACCATGGTTTCCGATTCTATT